CATGCTTTGTGCTCTCGAGGGCCACAGCAAGCTCGGACTCTCGCATCTTCGAGTCAAGCTCCAAAGTCTCGTGTTTCTTCACGAGAGCCTGGAGCTCTTGCTGCACCTCACCCACCCGTGCCTCTTGTCTCTCCCGCTCGGTGTGCTCCTTGGTCGCTTTGTTTTCGGCCTCGGACAACGCTTGCTTCAGGGTCACCACTTCGGTTGTGGCTCCTAGCACATTCATGATGATCCTGTCATTTCGCAACCACATTTTCTTTTTTATATATAGACAAGGTATTATTTACCTTTGTTCTTCTTGAGTTGCCTCTTGGCAAGGCCGAGCTCTTTCTCAGACCGCTCGAGGTTCTGCTTCAGTGCGGCGACCTCCGCAGTCAGTGCGACATAGGTCAGCAGTGAAGCCTGCATACGCATACAGACATACTTATATTAGACTCCTGCAGATATTATTTGATCCTCTATTCGGCTTTTCTTTGTGAACACCAAACAGAGTATCAGGGGCTACTGTCTATGCGGTAATATTTTTCCTATATTTTAAATTTTACCTCAAAGCCTGCTAGAAGGCTGGCACAGGCTCCAGTCAGTCCGCTCTTGGCAGACTGAACCTTCTTGATCACCGCACTCATGATAGTACGGTGCTCTTCGTTGATGGAAGCACCGCGAAGCGCTCCCAGCAGGTCGTCCGGTGCCTCTGGATGGACAGCGGTCACCGGCACGGATGGCTTGCCCCTCTTGGAAGGGGGCCGCCTGCCCGAGTCTGGAACCGCTGGAGGTTCCGGCGTGGTGTTCGGCTAAGGGCCGAACTTGGAGCCCCTGGGAGCCTTGCTCCCTTTTCTCCTGGAGTCCGGAAGGTCGCCTTGAGGCGCCTCCGGGACTGTCTCCCCCCGGCTCGGTGCCCCTTGAGACAATACCTCGGCATTGTCCATAGGGCAAGGAGAGGAGGCGGTTGGAAGTGTATCACTATCCATGTCCGACGAGTCCAAGGAACCGTCCGACGAGGATACGTCGATACGGGCTTGGGGCAGACTTCATAATCATATTCGACGTTAGGAGAAGCAGTGCAACAAAAGTATGCTATGAGTTACTCTGGTATCCGAATACTTACGACTTCGCCAGGGGCTTGGCCCTGAGCAGCCACTCGTCTTCTTCGTCGACGGCGGTGGTGGAGTAGTCCAGAAGGAGAGTCCTTCCCTTCTTGGACCCTTCGGCCTTCCCGGTTGGGGCGGCCTTCCTTTTCTTGTCTCCCCCGGCTGGAGGGGGAGAATCTTCATCTTCCTTCTCCTTGTTTTCACGGGAGGAGTGCATCTCGGAGTTATCGGACGAGGTGTCCGATACCACCTGGCGTCGGGAACTCTTTCGGGTTCCCGTGGCCTTCTTCTTGGTCTTCTCCGACACCTCATAAGGAGCCGGAGTCCGCATCTCCGTCAGGAGAGCGTCTGCAGGGTCTTCGGGCAGAGGGGCCGGACAGTTAATCTGCTCCGATGTCTCCACCCAGTCCTGTCAAACGCATGGGAGCTTAAACTCCGCACATGATTAAGCTATGGGAAATAAATACCCTACCCGGTGTACAGAACTTACCGGATTCGCAGAGCGCTTCGCGCTTAACCCACGGTCCTCGGTAAGAGAAGGAGGGACCTCGGCGCCTTTTAACAACACCTTCCAGACGTCCTTATGCGTCGTGTCGAAGAGCTCGCGCAGAGTCTGGTGTTGGGCCGGATCGAACTCCCATAAGTTGAAAGCCCGTTGTTCACATGGGAGGATCCGGCGGAAGAGCATGACTTGGACTATGTTGACAAGCTTAAGTTTCTTGCTTGTCATGTTCCGGATACACTTCTGGAGTCCGTCCAGCTCCACCGATGAGCCCCAAGACAGGCCCTTCTCCTTCTAGGAAGTGAGCCACGTGGGGATTCCAGATCGAAACTCGGGGACCGCCACCCAGTTGGTGTCACGCGGCTCGGTGATGTAGAACCACCCTGATTGCCACCCTTTTATGGTCTCCACGACGGGGCCCTCGAGCCATGTAACGTTGGGCATTTTGCCCACCATGGCCCCGCCGCATTCCGCTTGTTGGCCGCCTACTACCTTCGGCTTGATATTGAAGGTCTTCAGCCATAGGCCAAAGTGGGGCCGGATGCGGAGGAAAGCCTCGCACACGACGATGAACGCCGAGATGTTGAGGATGAAATTTGGGGCCAGATCATGAAAGTCCAGCCCATAATATAACATGAGGCCGCGGACGAATGGATGGAGGGGAAACCCCAGTCCGCGGACGAAGTGGGGGAGGAAAACCACCCTTTCGTGAGGTTCCGGGGTAGGGACGATCTGCCACGCGGCTGGCAGACGGTGCGCGATATCCGCGGCTAAGTATCCGGCTCCACATAGTTTTTTTATGTGTTCCTCCGTGACGGAGGAGGCCATCCACTTGCCTCCCGCTCCAGACATGTTTGGAAAGAGTTGAGGAGAAGGATGTGGACTTGGGCGCTGGAGCTCGAGTGCGCGAAAATGGATGAGCAAGGAGGAAGAAGGCATGGGTAGACGAAGGTGAAACCTTATCCCTTTATAAGGGCGGACGAAACTATGCGCCCCCACCAGCTTGGTAAACTCGCTTATCCCCCAAGCGTCGTAATTGATGGCGCGGTTGGGTTACCCACGTCCGTATTGATGGGAATCCCGTAATAAGGGGACACGATCTCTGCTTCGACAAGACATGACAAGGAAACCACCTTGCGAAACACGCTGAGATAGGTTATGAAAAACGATTCGAATAAAGACCTGGTTGTGGTGTGATGCCACGCTATGGGGTACGTCAGCAGATCAGATTTGTAGAAATATTATTCTCTCTACGGTGGTATGTGGAACTTGTTTTGCAGAGCCGGACACGATTCTCGTGTTCAAAATCTTCTATGAAGTATTCGGAGGAGGAACCCGCCTTGCAATGCCGAAGACAATCTGCGCGTCGGACTCATCGTCATTGAAGCCTGGTTCAGGGGCTACTGAGGGAGTCCTAGATTAGGGGGTATCCGGACAGCCGGACTATATCCTTTGGCCGGACTGTTGGACTATGAAGATACAAGATTGAAGACTTCGTCTCGTGTCTGGATGGGACTCTCCTTGGCGTGGAAGGCAAGCTTGGCAATACGGATATGTAGATCTCCTTCCTTGTAACCGACTCTGTGTAACCCTAGCCCTCTCCGGTGTCTATATAAATCGGAGGGTTTTAGTCCGTAGGACAACATACAATCATACCATAGGCTAGCTTTTAGGATTTAGCCTCTCTGATCTCGCGGTAGATCAACTCTTGTACTACTCATATTATCAAGAATAATCAAGCAGGATGTAGGGTTTTACCTCCATCAAGAGGGCCCGAACCTGGGTAAAACATTGTGTCTCTTGCCTCATGTTACCATCCGCCTTAGACGCACAGTTCGGGACCCCCTACCCGAGATCCGCCGGTTTTGACACCGACACTCGCCGTCGGTCCGAGGGCGTAGATGACGTGTGGCGTCAATAAAAAGGTCATCCACCTCCTTGTGGTGTTTCCTCGTGGACTCCCTATCTTGTAGCGCCGAGATCTTGTGGACCCTGCTCGACTTCTGCACGGGCTCGCCATCGATGGTGACAACGGAGCAGCTCGTGCTGATGGTGGCCATGGGACCCGAGCATGGCAGGGACTCTGTCATGGACGGCTGGTGCTGGAAAGGGGGCGACATGGGAGGAGATCTCGGAGGACGCTCCTCTGCCGTGCGCTACGTGCCGTTGGGCCACTGACATGTGGGCCAGGTTCCCAAAAGGCCCACATGTCAGTGACAGAACGGCAGGCTACCGTACGTCAGAGGATCCTCATCCGGAGATCTCAGGGCATACGGATGCAGCAAGGGAGTGCCCTGATGTGTTCCGGCTCCTATTGGTGAAGCTAGCTGCTCGACGAGAGGAGAGAGAGAAATCAAAGGAGAGAGCGAAATCAGACATGGAAGAAAGGGGAAGGGTGCTTTGAGATTTGTTTTGCCAACTATCGGCAGGGGAAGCAGCAGGGGAAGCGGGGAAGGGTGCTTTGAGACTCGTTTTGCCAACTGTCAACAGTGGAAGCGGGTCTCGCAACATGGGGCGTACGACCAAGGCCGTATAAGATTATTATTTTCCCCCTCTCCCTCTCCCTCGAGGAGGGCACGCGACGCAAGAGATGCAGTGGCGGCAACCCCGCCGAGTTCCAGCGGAGACGCGTTCTTATTGTGTTTTATTTCGAGAGAATAATGTGCTTGTGCACATAGTTTATGAGAGCAAACCTCAAACTCAAGAGCTAGTTGCAAAACCAAGGCCGTATAAGATTATTATTTTCCCCCTCTCCCTCTCCCTCGAGGAGGGCACGCGACGCAAGAGATGCAGTGGCGGCAACCCCGCCGAGTTCCAGCGGAGACGCGTTCTTATTGTGTTTTATTTCGAGAGAATAATGTGCTTGTGCACATAGTTTATGAGAGCAAACCTCAAACTCAAGAGCTAGTTGCAAAAAAGGTTAGGCAAATGATCTAATTGCTGCATGGTGAGACAAAATCAAGATAAACAACCAGGATTACCATAATCCACCATGACGCCAAAAACAGGGAATGTGCTATAGAAAATACATTAGTTACTGGGCTGATTGGCTTGCGAGATGACATAGAAATCCCTAGTGCACGGCAACGTCACTGACAAAATCGAAGAGACAGTTGCCATTCACGAAAATAAGTTAGCTCCACGGAGCAGGCCGCAACCAGGATCAACAAAGTCACAGCTCAACACCAAAGGATGCCACTACAAAACGAGGATTCTGAGTAAAAAGCTAAAAACACCCAATATATATATATATATATATCAAATAGATAGGTATATTATGCTAAAAAAACACAAAAGATGCCACTTTGTACACGGAAATGCTAATAACAGTCTTCGGACTCCCAGAAGCCAACTGGTGTATTATGCACCACCGCCATCGCGTCGTTTATCATATCAACTCTGTGCTCGGCTTATACGTCCACATCCACTTCCTCGTCGAGGTCGTCATACTGGGAAAGAAGATGCAACAAACTGTGAGCACGCATGTTCGCCATATGCAAGCCAATAACTATTCTTCTATAATAAGAAATATAGGTGGGGAGAATGTAAATGAGCAATGTCATGCTTTTTTTAGTGCATATGATAAAACAGGTTCCCGGTTTCTTGGAGGATAGTCACCTGCTCGAAGGCATTTTGGCCCACTGGAGGTACCGGCGATCTAGTCCCGTCAGCATCATTTTCTAGCAATGCATCTATCTGTTCGTTTCTATCATCCAGTTCAACTGCCTCGTTAAGGTCATATAAGGCACGAGCAGCCATACCAGTGGAGGGCAAAGCGTGCTTCACTGGAGAATCTTTCACCTGTAAGTTTAAAAATATCTACTCAATTAAGTATTCTCTTGTAATATGCAGAATTCATTCGTCAAGATGATTCATTGCTAATAGTCTAGCGACTCGATAATGAAGGAAAACTATGAGGTTCACTCGTTACTTATAAGCAAGCCAGCAATCACAATCTGACATTTAAACACAAAACTGAGATGGCATGGGGTAATAAACAAGCCAGCAATCACGATATGACATTTAACACAAAACTAAGATGGCACGGGGAAATACTGGACCTGGTCTGCAGAGGAGGCAGCATTTCCAAGCTTATTCTTTTCATCTTCCCACAGTCTCTTCTTCAAATATATAGATTTTGTTCCATCACTACCCTTACTTGTTTTATCATAGTCTGTAATATCGCCTTCTGACCTATATTTATCTGATCTAGTGAATGTATCAGTCTCTCGCTCTCCTCTTTTCTTAGCTGAAAAAATGGACAAAAGATTAGATGCAAGTATACAAGCAATATGATAGAAAGATATTTCTGCAATAATGTACAGAATGAAATCTCAATAATGTGAAGAAAAAAATTACCCCCTCCAATGTTTCTACATAGTAATTAATCACATGTATTTAATGCTTAAGATTAACAGTTGGAACCTTTAGCTATTGCTTAATACTTAATAAGATGGGTTGCTTAAACATGTTAAGATGCATATGGAAGTAAAAATATGTACGAGATCCACATTGTGCTGATCATCATATGTTCTTCAGCAGTATATATAAATCATCCAAGAATCCAAGCAACCTACCAGCTTTTGCCTCATCACTAGTTGAGTATGGGATTGATCGCTTTTTAGCTGGAGTAGCATTTGGACTCCTTTCATAAGGTCCATTTAGATCTTCATCAACATGGACGCTGGAAGCTTCTTCATTAGCACCACGCTTTAAAATTTCTGAAGCAAGCATATCACCAAGTCTCTCAAAACGAGCTTGTGACCTGCACAGCTCCAATAGTCAATACTTAGTTACTACAAATTCGCAAGTCATGAAAGATACTCCCTCTGTAAACTAATATAAGAGTGTTTAATTACTACTTTAGTATTCTAAACGCTCTTATATTTCTTTACGGAGGGTGTAGAATATAGTGATGTAAGCAAGCCAAGAATGTATTTCATTACAAGATTTAATATTGATGAATATGCACCTTTTCAACTCCTCCCGAGCTTTCATAAAACGGACATGAGCTTTTAGGAACTTCTTCATTTTTGACGTCATTCTACGTTGGAATCATAATTCAATATGAGAACAGGATATCTACATAATAAAACCACCTAGCTATTGATATTAATAATAAAGAAAGTGACCAAATTGGCATGCGCAAGTGTTGCTTAGATACCTATGACATTCTTCTTTCTCCCTCCTCAGCTGCTGATCAAGGTCACTTACTTGGCTAGAAATCCTGCGCACTTCATCCATTTTCTCATCCAAAACAATCTACAGAGTAAATGTTAATTAGAGCACGGAGTGAAGATTTTAGAAGGTCGGCCGATGTAAATGACATACATTGAACAAAGGGCATAAATAATAATTTAATCTTTTTTCTTTTAACATGGTACGCTAACATTTACTAGCTATGTTCCAAGAAATATGATATTCTGGACATTAATAGTCTCCCACATAAATATAGCCTTGCCAACAAGTTGGGTTCGATGTTTGGCAAAAACACATACATTTCTGGGTGGAATGTGTAACAATGCACAACATTGCATTGAAACAAAAACTGACCTCGAGATGAGATTTATCGTCACGCAAAGCCTCCATATCTGATCTAACTTGTTTCAGCTGCACAATATTCAAATTTTGAAAAATTCAGAATTTCAATATGGAAAATGTGACAAAGGTGCATGTGATCTATAAACTGGATTACACAGTGCTCAAAGCCTCATACCTCCTTTTCATAATCCTCTTTCTCGTCACCACTAGTGACTTTTTCCTTTTTCCTATCATTATTATCAGAGATAGGAGAACTCTTAGATGAGTTTGTTTCTCCATCATCCATCTTCTTTTCATGCCTCCTCTCACTGAAAGATTGAAGATAACATAAACAGTAAATTACAAGATAAACATGACTTGCTCATATTCAAGACAGATAGAACATATCTAGTAAACCAACAAATCCAGTGAGACTGCAGTGAAGTGTGCTGCATTGCATTCCATTTAGATTGGAACAAATCATAGTTATCTGCTATGTTGATAACAATTAAGCATATAAGAATACAAGATAACTTAAAAAATACTAATGTGTTCAAAGTATTTTTACAATTAAATGGCTCCAAAAGACGAGGATCATATGTTGAACTGCAATATATACCTCTTCCTGCTGGGAGACCGTGAAAAGCTAGACTCTGCAAGCAAAATTACAAATAAGAACGTATAGCAGGAGCAAGCAGAACGTAGAAGTGAACAGGTGTGTGTGTGTGTGTGTGTGTGTGTGTGTGAGAGAGAGAGAGAGAGAGAGAGAGTTTACCCCTTTCTCGAGAAGTTGGCCTTCGATCGTGTAGGGAACGATGACCCCTGAAATCTCTTCCAGGGGAATGCCTCCTGCGAGGTGAGAACCTCCTTTCAATCCTGCCTCTGAAATCACCACCTCTATAATCTCTTCTCCCTAAAAGAAACGAAGGTTTGCAAGTTTTATACAAGGAAGAACTCATGTCAACAGAGTAAAATGGAGCGATAAGGAGAGAAGGACACCCATAAGCCTGTCAAGCTTACCACGAACTTGATCTACAAGATTATTCAATTAGCAATAAGTAGCAGCAGCTCCAGGATAATGTCATTAGCCATGCAAAAAAAAACGCAGCGCCAAAAAATAATACGCAAGCAGACACCAAGATACAATGATGCATCCATTAGGATAATACCAATACTCATAATGTTGATCATCTGAAGTGAAATAGATGGAAGCTCCATAAACAGCCCATACAGCAATTATGATGAAATAAGGTCTGCCATAATCCAGATATCACCATATAAATGTACTAGCATTTGTCCAGATATCTTCGGCGACTTGGATTGCCAGCGATAAGAATACTTCCCAATGAAACTAGTTGATGTGCCATGATCAAAAGATATGCAACTTGGTTCATTGCAAAGCCTGCTAATCATTCAGTGGACTCTGCCGTGATCATAGCACATCAAACATATTATGGGTATCAATCAAAGGAGGCCAATACCCTCAAAGGTTCACCTTCTGATACAGCCCGAGCATTTAGTGGTCACGACAAATCATCGAAATACCAATCGAAGAAATCTATAGAAAAGGCCATGTTATCCTCTGGCAGCAGTCGAGTCTAACAAATTTGTGATGGCAATTAAATCAAAAGACAACCAGTAAGAATGCCACCTAATTCTGCAACAAGCTTCCAGTTGTTAGAATGCTTACTCAATTGTTATCTATCTGCAGCAGCTGATGTTCAATTCAAGCAGTAGTACGAAAATCATAGTAAACCACCCAAGCACAATAAGCCACAACACATGGAACACATAGATTAAATGAATCATGAAGCAAACACAAAAATAACTTGTCAACATGATGTCGCCTAGAAAATAGAAAAATGCTCCAGAAACGTCCATCCATAATAATCCAATTCAGACATATCATTCCTTAAGGACTAGCATGGGCAAATTCTCATAAATACATCCTTCTAGTCAACCTGATCTCCAAAAGAAATAAAAATTAACCATTTGTAATGTGTCGTTCATGTGGCTGGCAAACAACTCATAATGACCGTGTTGTTCTTCAGAGGTAACCGTTTCATTTCGCTAAGATACAAATCACCCGAATTTCGCGAACGACCATTCTTGGTGGGATCCAAAACCCAATCTTTCCAGCATTCAGCCATCTTTGGCAGTATTCCATACCCTAGATTTCCCAACATTCAATCATGCACCTAGATTTCCGTAGATCTACACCCTAACTACCATAAAAATCAAGAGAATTAGGCAACATCCAACCCTCCCCGCATCTCGCTACGACAGAAACCCTAAACCCCGGGCGAGGATCTCGGGGAGAAACGACAGGCGACCGAACAGGAGGGGCAATGGGGTGGCGGGCACGGGGAGAGAGGGCGCGCATACGTACCGGCGTGGTGGGGCGGGAAGGTGGGCCGGGAGGAGGGGGGCCGGCGGAGCTCGGCCGTGCCGTGGGCGAAGCTGCAGAGCTCGCGGTCGCAGTTGCCGTTCTGCCACAGCGCGCACATCTTGGTCTTGTACGCCGGGCCGCGGCGCGGAGGGGGCAACATCGCTCGCCGGCGGGGGGAGTCCCGATCGCGGGGGCTAGAGGGGAGGGGAGGATGCGGATGCCCTAGGTAGGCGGAGCACCTGGGTCGGGAGGAGGAACGGAGATGGGCTGGGGTGGGTTCGGGCACTTGCCAGGAGATGGCGTATAAGTATGGGTTTTTTTTCACAGTGTATAAGTGTATTATTTATGTGTACCAGTTTTGATAAGGGAAGTGTTTGGGGCCGGGGCACCGGCCGAAGCTTCGGCCGGTCCACTCCACGCGCGCACGCGACCCACTCGTGAGCAGCCACGTGGCGGTGCGGATCCTGCGGATCTCGCCTCATCTCCGTCTCGCAGCTCCACGGATATCGCTCTCATCCTTGTCTCCTGCGTCCATCGTTGCAGCGCCGACGCCCGCATCTTGCGATCGGCCATGGAAGGTCAAATCCCCCGTGCGTCCATGGATGTAGATCTCACCCCGCCATGCTTTAAAGCCCAGTTCGCCATTGGATGCAGCAAGGCCGTTGACCAATTCCCCACCCCCGGCGGTTGCAACTCCCACGCGTCTCGTGCTTCTGCCCTCGCCGCCGACGAGCCGGGCGGCGATTGGCGACACCAGAGGCTTCTGCAGAACCCGTTGCAACCCCTCATGTTGCAACCGTGTTTACAAAAAGCTTCATCCCCTTGATGGAAAGCTTCAACTGGATGTAGAGAAAGCTACAACCTGTCAGCGCCATCGGGGAAAGCTACAACCGTTGACATGAAATGCTACAACCTTCAATGAAAAAAGCTTCAACCGAAACGACACAAAAAGCCTTGACCAAGCGCTGCTAAAAAGAAAAATAGCTACAACCATTGATAGAAAAGCTTCAACCGTAGTTGGAAAAAGCTCCAACCATTGAGATAGAAAGCTACAACTAGACAATACGCAAATCAGAAAAGTTGCAACCACTAAGAGGAATGCTTCAAGTGTATGCGTGAAAAGCTTCAAACCGGCGACATTGTTTTTGTGTTGGAACTGGCTTTTTTTTTGCTACGACCTTGTGACATCTTTGCTTCAACCATGTGGATTTTTGCTACTACCGTCCACAGTTTTTGCTACATCCATTTTGTCACGACGGCAAGATGCCGGTGGTGGGTTTCTGTGAATTCCGGCGGCGAGATCCAGCACGGGGGGCAGGGGCGGATGCTGCAACCGGTCGCCGGCGAGCTGCTACGGGGTCGCGGCGAGCTGCAACCTCGACTGGCCGTAACCACGGCTGCTGCATCCACGGAGGTTTTCAGAAACACACGAAGACTGATGTAGGTGAGGGCGGGCGACCAGCGGCGAGGGCGGCGGCCGTAGGCGACCGACGGCGAGGGCGACCGGTGGTGAGGAGGCGAGGCGAGGCGAGGCGGTCGGCGCGTGCTGGGGCGTCGACGCGCATGAGGGGGCCCGTGCGGGAGGTTGAAGAAGGAGGTGGGGAACCAGATCTGACGGTGCAGGGAACCAAATCTGACGGTTGGGGCTCGACCGGCCCAACCGTTCGGCCGGTGCGCCGGCGCAGATCATTGGCCTTTTGATAATCTTGAAATAGACTCCCCTCTATTATTTAACTTGGTTGCTGATGTTTTTATCAAAATGTTCAAAGAAGCCACTTCCCAAAACTTAATCTCGGGGTTTCTGCCCCATGTGATTCTTGGAGGTATGGTTAGTCTGCAATATGCAGACGGCACCATACTCTTCTTGGAAAACTCTGGTCATAAAGCAAGGAATTTTAAATGGCTTTTGTCATGTTTTGAGAACTTATCTGAGATGAAAATTAACTTTCACAAAAGTGATCTCATGACTATCAATGTTGAGGAGGCAACTGCTAAGGAGTTTGCATAAATCTTCGGTTGTAAAAAAAGGCTCATTCCCTATAAAGTATCTGAGAGTGCCTCTGCACTATGATAAACTTAAAAGAGAAGATATCCAGCCTATCATTGACAAAATCATTAAAGGCATTTCTGGCTGGCTGGGAAGATATCTCACTTATAAATGGAAAATTATATTGTTGTGTGCTTGTGTGATTAGCATTTCTGCTTACTTGATGTCCGTGATCAAATTTCCTAAGTGGGCAATCAATGTCATTAACTCTCAAATGGCTCATTTCTTTTGGGGGAATTTGGGAGATCAACACAAATACCACCTAGCCAATTGGGGCTTAATTAATAGGAAGAAGGAATTTGGGGGTTTGGGGTTCCCAACATTAAAGAATATAATATGGCCTTGCTAGCTTCTTGGGGTAAAAGATTCTTTGATCACCCTGACTCAGACTGGACTAAACTCCTTTTGTATAAATACAGAGTTAATTCCCCCAATCTCCTCTGGGCTAAAAGTGAAGGGGGCTCTACCTTTTGGAAGTGTATTACTTGGGCCATGGCAGCAGCAAAAATCTTCTATAGATGGAGGTTGGGAGATGGGAATCTCATTAGCTTTTGGCATGATGTGTGGGTGGGAGATTGTTCCTTTAAAGTACAATTTTGGGACCTACCCCCCCCCCTTCCTAAATATTTGTCTTTTTAGAGATTTCAAATGGACTATTACATACGGATGTATATAGACATATTTTAGAGTATAGATTCATCATTTTGCTCTGCATGTTGTCACTTGTTCAAATCTCCAGAATGACAAATATTTAGAAATGGAGGGAGTATTTAGTATCTGTAATCAAGCTGATAGTACAGTGGCCCGGATCTGGGATGGGAATGAAATTAGACTGGCATTTAGAAGATGTGTTGATCGCTTTGGTATGGACCGCTAGGATCAACTTGTTTGTGTGGTCAAGCAGCATCCTCCTCTGGATGGGGTGGACACCCCAATTTGGGGCTTAGAACCCAGTGGGGTATATTCAGTAAAATCCTTCTATAAGCAAATTAACTTTGGAGGGATAGTTCCTACTATTAGTGACAAAATGTGAAAAATCTTATGTCTACAGAATATTCATATCTTTCTGTGGTTATGTGTTCACAATAAGGTGCTTACTAGAGATAATCTTGCTAAAAGAAGAGTAGTTGAGGATCCTTCCTGCCTTTTCTGCTCTGAATATGAAACTGTTCAACACTTGTTGTTTGATTGCGTGGTTGCCTAACAAGTTTGGGATTTTGTTGCAGAATTCTTTGGTGTCGACAAAATAACCGGTTTTGAAAATATCATATCCTTCTTGAATATGCATAAGAAGAATGTTGTTTTGAATTTGGTGACAACTGCTGCCTTATGAAGCTTGTGGAGACTAAGAAACGAGTTTTGCTTTCAGAGGCACAAATGGAGAAGTGTGAAATGCATTCTTGCAAAACTAAGTTGCTATTTACAACAATGGAAGGTTCTCTACGACGGTGTGCAGGCAACTCTATTACAACAATGCATTCTCCTTTTGGACAAACGGCGTGGGGAACTCCTCCGGATCGCATGGAGATGATGCAAGAAGAGACCAACTGAAGAACTGGGCATGGGAGACGATGGATCAACCAAGGACGTATCCTGTGCAACGAGCGAACTGATGCTACGGGTGCACCAATGCAATCTGAGCCGCCCGATGCACAATAGAGGGACCAGAGTCTGTAAACAGATGAGCTGCTGGTAGTACATTTTATATATTTGTCCTTAGAAAATCGTCCATTTGCACCAACAGTCATTCCCCAAGACATCTTTTCCTTTTCCTTTCCCTCTCATCTCATCTGCCTCCTGTGCTCAAAATGTCGTGCCTCAGGATGGTACAGCAGCAGCACGCGTGGGTAGAAACATGGAACAGCTTCGCTAGTATGATGCCGAAATATTTGAGCAATAGTTCTCATGTATATGGCCCCATGCACGTAAATTGAATCCATATTACATGTGCTAACAGCAGACTAATAGTACAGGTGGACTTTAACTGTAATTAGACACTTAATATGATTAGGCAATTCTTCAGTTGACCCATAACATTTTCAGGTCTGTCATACCTGTCTTGTTTTTGAATTTTCTGTAAGATATTTATACTATTAGTTTGCAGGAGTGAAACAACGGCAAGTATTGCAGAAATTCCCTACAACATAAATTTAATCTCATCCAACCATGTTATTTTGGTGACCTCTCCTGTTTTCCTATGCATCTGAAAATTTATGATTTTCGTGATTTTCAGGTATTGTCTGCATGATTAGCTATATTCTCGTCTATGAAAAAAAAACAAATTTGCTGTAGAAGCTAGTGTTCTACTTGCATCAACTTGGTCTCTTTCAGAGCTGCATGGTGCTCATTCATTTGCCTAAAGCAAAGAGATACTACTATTGTCGGAAACTCGGAATGCACCGCTACCTCTGGTTCTAATCAGATTGATGTATGTGTGGAGGAACAGTCGCATATAGAAGAGCTCGAAAATGTCAAAAATGAAAGCAGATGACATTCTTTTATGAATTGTGTAGAAACAAAGTTTTCCTTATGACATATTTTTTTATCTCATGTACCTACACAAAGTCTGAACCCTTTGGTCTACATGACAGTCAGTTACTTGTCATCAATCTTTTAAATTTTACAGAGTTTCCTCTGTACACATTCTAATTTGATTACATTTCCGTGAGACAGTTCAAGCCTTAATGGACTACTTGAACACAATACAATTAGCATCCCACCGCAGCACGCCAGGGGAAAGCCTTAACCCACCGCAACTCATCAGGAGAAAGCTTGAACTCACATCACATGGCCAGCTCCTTTGCGGTTGTTGTGTCAATGTCCCGCAGAAATAGTGTAGCCGTGCTCCACTGTGGACGACCGTTTCAGAGAAGAGGAGGGACGCTGATGCGTCACCGGCAACGGAACAAGGTACAAGAGATAGAGGGAAGAAGGTCGAGCGGTCTAGGGGAGTGGGCCAGAGAGGTGACCAGCCGAATTGCTAACCCTAGCTCCAAATCCGAATCGCCCTGTCATGCTCAGGTGCAGGAGACAAAGACAAGAAGAAGGGAAGAGACGATGTCTTGGGAGAGGACTCTTCGCGCAAATGGATGATATCTGAGGACGAATATGGA